CTATAGACTGGTCAGCCACACCTCAGTCCCTGGAAAAATCATGGAGCAGGTCCTCAACTAATCCATTTTGAAGCACTTGGAGGAGAGGAAGGTGATCAGGACCAGTCAACATGGATTCACTAAGAGCAAGTCATGCCTGACCAATCTGATTGCCTTCTATGATGAGATAACTTGCTCTGTGGATATGGGGAAAGTGGTGGACGTGATATACCTTGACTTCAGCAAAGCTTTTGATACAGTTTCCCACAGTATTCTTGCCAGCAAGTTAAAGAAGCATGGATTGGATGAATGGAATAGAGCGTGAATAGAAAGCTGGCTAGCTAGTCGGGCTCAACAGGTAGTGATCAATGGCTCAATATCTAGTTGGCAGCTGTTATCAAGCAGAGTGCCCTGGGGTCTGTCCTGGGGCTGGTTTTATCTTCATTAATGATTTGGATGATGGGATGGATTGCACCCTCAGCAAGTTCACAGATGACACTAAGGTGGAGGTAGATACGCTGGAGGGAAGGGATAGGGGCCAGGGTGACCTAGACAAATTGGAGGATTGGGCCAAAAGAACTCTGAGGTTCAACAAGGACAAGTGCAGAGTCCTGCACTTAGGACAGAAGAATCCCATGCACTGCTACCGGCTGGGGACTCACTGGCTAAATGGCAGTTCTTCAGAAGTGGACCTGAGGATTACAGTGGACGAGAAGCTGGATATGAAATCAACAGTGTGCCCTTGTTGCCAAGAAGGCTAATGGCATATTGGGCTGCATTAGTAGGAGCGTTGCCAGCAGATTGAGGGAAGTGATTATTCCCATCTATTTGGCACTGGTGAGGCCACATCTGGAGTACTGAGTCCAGTTTTGAGGCCCTCATTACAGAAAGCATGTGGATAAATTGGAGAGAGTCCAGAGCAGGGCAATGAAAATGATTACGGGGCTGGGGCACATGACTTATGAGGAGAGGCTAAGGGAACTGGGCTTATTTAGTCTGCAGAAGAGAAGAGTAAGGGGGGATTTCATAGCAGCCTTCAACTAGCTGAAGGGGGGTTCCCAGGAGGATGGAGCTAGGATGTTCTCAGTGGTGGCAGATGACAAAACAAGGAGCAATGGTCTCAAGTTGCACTGGGGGAGGTTTAAATTGGATATTAGGAAAAACTATTTCACTAGGAGGGTGGTGAAGCACTGGAATGGGTTACCTAGGGAGGTGGTGGAATCTTAGAGGTTTTTAAGGCCCGGCTTGACAAAGCCCTGACTGGGATGATTTAGATGGGGTTGGTCCTGCTTTGAGCAGGGGGTTGGACTAGATGACCTCTTGAGGTCTCTTACAACCCTAATCTTCTATGATTCCATGAGTCTGTTTTTAATTTTTCCAAATCTCAGGTTTCTTCCAAGTAATACCTGTGCAGCTACCATGATACATAGTGGCATCCCTACAACAATACCATTGACTATCACAGTACTGCCGATCACAAGCAGTCAGAAATCACAAGTCAGCTCTTCAAAAACTATGAGGCCATCTTAAAAATCATGAGATTTTTAAAACAGGCCTTCTGCCTCTCAACATTTAGGGATCATGTTTTCAAGTTTTTCTCCAGTCATAAGGGCCTAGAAACTTACCTCCTCTCTTCTTTTTTTAAATGAAAGCTGGGATTCTCATACAATGAGGTGACTTCAGGAACTGGGGCTTTAAGAAAACTACCAAATATTGTGAGACTTGTGATGAAATCATGAGAGTTGGCAACACTACTTCATATTTTTCAATTTGCCTCCAATTCCCACCCTACAAACTCTGAATCATCTACCTCCACTGCATCAAATCCAGCAGCAACAGCACTCTAAACTCTGCATCACTTGTCAGCACTGTCAAAGCAACTATGGCAGCCTGGCTCTCAATGAATTTCACAGAGGTGTGGGCTGGATTTCAGCATCAACCAGACCACATCTGCTCTTGGGTCACACTTTTGACAGCTGTGGTTAAAATAAATACAAGAAATGTAAAATGTGACTTTAATTGTTTAACAAGCCAACAAAGCCACAAAATGACTCCTGGAATGAGAGAGTTAATGCTCTCGGAGGGTTATTGTATAGCCACATGTTAGTAGCCATCCTTAAATGTTTAATGGTTAAGAATCAGAATCTTTCCCCCAGAGCTTGACCTGTAGTAATTCTTCCCTGTGAATCAGAGTTAAATCATTGTTTCAACATGGTTTTAGGGTTACAGGGGGAGATGTGCCGGCTTTTATTTGAGACATGCAGCCAAGGTCCAGACCACTTGTGATTATGACACTTGTTGCCAGAGTACAGCTGTTAACCCATGTATTCTGATCAAATTTCAAACTAGGTAATTACATTTTGTTTACCTAAATCCCTGCTTTAGTTTCAACATATTTTTTCATTTCGTGTCCTAACCTGTTGTTTAAGATAACTGTAGTCCATCTCGGAGACAAATACATTTCAAAAGGTACTAAATTTTCTTTCCTACTGGTGTTTGTGTCACAGATCAGGAAAATCAATATAGAGGCTGTTGGTTTCATAATGTTGTGTGAGAAATCCTTTAAAGCATTAATATTTCAAGTTTGACATGACTTAAAATTATAAAGTAATCAGGAATATAAGAAGAATTTCTACTTGAATATTAATATGCATTTAGTTAAAGCCATACATTTAATATTATTTTGTTTGTATTCATGTGAGCCCTTACTTTTAGGCGTATTTAAGGGGAACTGCTTGTTTAAAGACATTAAATTGTAAGCAATAGGATCGTTACATTTTATGCTTTACTCCTAGTTAATTCTAGAATAAATGAGACTTCTTATTTAACTATTACCTAAGAGGAAACTCGAGGAACCAAAGGCAGTATCCTCACAATGAGCCCACTGAAGAAGCACTAGTTTGGACTATTTATGGAAGCTATTTTCACTAAAAAACTAATGAAAAATGATAATGCATGACTGTTTAAAGTTCATCTTAAAATACAATACATTAAATCTTGGAACCAGCAAGGAGGCTAGTCAAATGGAAATAACTTCCACTAATATTGGGGGGGGGGGGGGAATTATTCAAACCTACTTGTGTTCTTATATTATATACACACACAAGTTATTATACATAAGCGTGCAAACACACACACACACACACACACACGACTGTAGACATTTTTATGACCCCACTAAAGGAAAAAATATAATTTCAATAGATACGGAAAGTCAACCAAGACACAAGGTGATTGAGATCTTTAGGCATGTTACAAATTACATTAAGCTTTTAAAGAGATTATTATTTAGCTAATTTCCCATTGAATCTATTGTTTCTGGGACATCAGCAAAGTGATATGTCTAGAAGATATACTATAGACTGTGTACCACTAGAGTGATGCAGCCCTGAGGGTACAGATGTCAATAAATACTTGCTACATAGTGTGTAGACAACGGAAAAAGAACATTTCAAAACAAAAATATAGAGTGTACTTATGATCAGAAAAGCGTGTGTAAAGCGGACTTTAGCCAGTTCAGTATTTCTTCCTTCTCAACGGCCTCTTATTTTCTCAGCTTATAACTAAAAGATTTTTTTTCCCCTAACTGCTGGCTCTGCAAATTTTATGTGGGAAATTTTCAAACAAGCACCTTTGTGCTTTTCTCCCATTCTGCCCCTCCCAAAAGCTCCTTGTAAATATCCACAAAACTAACTCTTTATCCTCCTCTGCCAGGAAGCCTATGAAACTTGACAAATCAATAGGCTGCTAATGTGCTGAGACCACAGTCTATCATGCTAACCAATATTGTCTCATTGTTTCCTTGTACCTTCCCCCCGCCCCTCCCCCAATCTAGTTGTAGCCATCTGTTGTCTTTTGTCTTCTACTTAGATTGTAAGCTGTTTGGGGCAGGGACTTTTTTGTTCTATGTTAGTTCAGCACTAGTCCTGGTCTGTGACTGGGGCTCCTAAGTGCTACAATAATATAAATAATAAAATCAGATTATTCTTTCTACTTTATCACCAGTAATAAAGATTCTACCATGAGAACTAAGTAGACACCCTAGAAAAGGTGAGCAAGGCACACTGCAATCCTGCTCATTTTTTCCATAGAGATAAATAGATCTGGTTTTCAAACAAGCTTAATTCATCCCATTCCTGATTTTCATTAAAATGTCTTCAAAAGTGGAATGCCCCCAAAACAGTGATATTTGTTGCTGTCTGAATCTCTAACAAACTGTTCTTTGATGCACTTTGACCATCATTCAATCTTAACCCATTCAGCATTGCGTGTGAACTCTGTAGACAGAGGCAAAAAGCAAAAATAACTAACACTAAAAAACATTGTAAATTATATAGTATTACACAAAAGACAGAAATGGCTACAGTGCATGTATGATAATAGTCACAACAGTATGTGCATTAGTAAGCTATTAGTAAATGGCTTAGGTATGAAATATGAGGCAAGATCTTTCAGCCACCTGAGAAGTGCATCAATTCCTGCACATGCTGGTGTGGCTTATGTATGACTCCTTCATTTTATATTACACTATTTTAAAACCCTTTTTAAAAACCTAAATTTTTAGCCTACAGGCCAGTCATTCATTGGTGATACAGTGTAAAATTTCTGAAATCCATTCTTGTACAAGCAGGACCTTTTATAACTTCCATTGGTGTGTCATGCATAAAGTTGTACAAGATCATTAGAGACAGTGGAATTTCATTTATCCTAGGGGAAAAAAACACTGGTTTCTATAAAAAGGAAAAAATGTGTGCAAATTCAGCCAAGTTTTGCAAGCCCCCATAATGGTTCAGGAGGTTCACAAAATCTCCACTGACATAGGATTCACCTATCCCTATACATGTACTTGATGCATAGAAAATATTTTAAAAAATAAACCTATATGATCTTCATCTGAAACAGATATGGATAAAAGATTCTCATACAATTTATATTTGATCCAGACAAAAGTTCTGACCATGAACAGTGTAAATGTAAAAATAGCAGTTTTTGTAAGATGCAGATTGTACATTTTTAGTTACCTTTCTGTGCCATGAGGCAAAACTCTTCTTGAAGTTTGATGTACTCCATGGAGCATTCCAAGGGGTCAGCTACCTGGCTTGGGGGAGTCTGAAATTCGATGTCTACACAAAGATTGGGGTTGGATGAGTGCAGGCGAACCGGTGACATTGTAGCACTGAAAGGGACCTACAGGGAGATTCAACAACGAAAATAGCTACTGTATAGGACTGTATCCACCTTCCACGGAATACATCGAATAAAAATATCACACACAGAACAAAACACAATAGTTTCACTGTGAGAGACTTAAAAAATTATGAGAATATGTATCTTTTGGTGTCTCAAATTTCAGTAGTTGTACAAAATTCGCCAGGTCTCTTAAAATCCTTCAGTGAAACATAGACAAGTGATGGGGGCGGGGGGTGCACTTTAGCTCTGACTATAGCATTTACACTAACATAGCATTTCATAAGATTTGGCAGAGCGCTGCAAAATTAAACCATTAATGTTGCTTTACATTCTGACCTTTGGTACTCTATAAAGAAGATTTGGTGGTCACAATACCAACATTTTAAATGTATTAGTTTCTCCATCAACCTGGAAATATGGCTAAATATTCCTGCAGAGAATATTATTTGCAGACTTTGAAGAGTGTTGGTAAACCCTGAGATTATTATTCAGTTCACTGAAATTCACTTTATAATTCATCTGCAGATCATACAATATAGACAATCACGTAGGCTCTTTTTGTATATGAAAGCTCTTTTTAACAAAAAAACAAAAAGCACAACTACTATAAAATTAGTAAAAGAGATATTGTACCAAGTTATATTAAGTGTCAAACAGAACAAATAAGCTTCTTTTAGTTTATTATATATTTCCACTTTTCTTTCTCCCTCTGTATTTTTGCACATATAGTAAATGTGTATATATATACACACACATATATAATGTGTTTGTGTATTTTATCTACAATGTAGAGATATGTAACATTTATGTATTATATAGTTGCATATATAATGCATATGAAATTCTGTATATACACATATATAGAGAATACTTTATTTACATTGTATTACATTATATACACACACATTTATTTATATATATATATATAACATCTGACTCCTGGAGCCCAATTTTCAAACTTGAGTGTCAAAGTTAAGGCATTCAGAATCATATTTTGGCACTAGATAAGAGTTAAACACTTAAATATCTATTTTAGGCATTCAAGCACCAATTAGATTCCTTAAAATGCAGAAGCTGAAAACCGACATTCTAGAGTGTAATTTATGTATCCAAATATGAAAAATGGGCCCAAAATACAGATTGTTTTCTGAAACTTCCTACAGAGCAGCAGGCAATATAAAAAGTCATATTACTATAGACTTTATCAACAGATTAGTTAAACTACCATGAACACTAGCGATGGAGCCTTAGTTTGTTAACTTGATTAGCTGACTGGGTTGGAGAATAGCTTTTTTGATCTTTTCAGGGAACTGTGCCCAATCACTATACATTATATGTTTCTGACTTCCTGGTGGAATCCTCCAACTCCTCTTAG